CTCTCGGCTCCCAAGCAACCTTGCTATCAGGAAGGATGTCGTAAATAGAATCAGTAATCCATTAACGATCATCACCAGGAACAACACGAAAAAGGGGCAGTTTACATCGCTCGACGAACCAGTAGATTCGAAATTTGACCAACATGATTGACTGGCATTCGTTTTGCCTACTTCCGCCTCCAGGAAATTCACCGTTAAAAAGCAAATCTCTGCCGCCAAAGAAGACGTACAGGCCAGTGCAAATAACGCTCTTGGATTACAGTTTCCCATTACTTAAGCTTTGTGAGGAAAGATACTTCCGTAAGAGGACGTTCGTAATTTAAGTTTCTCTATGAAAAGCGCGTGACAGATCGAGACGATGACGATCGTGTTACAGTTGCCGCTGGTCACTTGTGAGCTTTCGATAATTTTGCTTTCCTTTTTCTTCTTCTGTTTTGAAGAGTGAGCTATTCTTTCGATTTTGTCCAACTTTTCAGCGGCGTCCAAAACATTGAAATAAATTTTGATAAAAGTGATAAGAGAACTTGAAATCCCATAAGGAATCATCCATAATTCGTTCCAGGGAGCGGACTGGTTGCACTAATTAATACAGCTAGATAACACAACGATTTAATCTGACCGTAAGACGTGTGCATACATCAGGGATATATTAGTTCTCATTGTAGTGCGCAAGTCCCTAGAGGCTATTAAAAACACAGTGACATCGTTACACCGGTAACATCTTTAAGAAAGTAAAATAAAACGTTCTGAGGAACTAAGGTTCTAAGGAAAAGAAAAATGATTCTAACCCCTCTAAATGTGCCTTTAAAAGAATTGATGGTCACCTCCTCAACCTCCCCCCGTTTGAAAAAAAAAAGGACGGGCATACATGTTCAACTTTAAATTCTTATTTACTGATTAATCTCAAAATCTGCATGTAAGAACAAAGAAACAAAATGCAAAAATACAAGCTACTATAACTGAGTGAATGTTTGTTTGTATCACTATTCGAACCCTTTCATATCCTCAGCGATGTTCTCTACCACCATTCCTTCCTCCTCTTCCTCTGTTACCTCTTCTTTCTCTGCCCCTTCCTATATTCGGTCCCCTCTCCATCTTCTTCTTCCTCTGCTCCCTCTCCTTCCTCTGCCCATCTCTTTCTCTCCTTCTTCTTCTCCTTTTGCCTTCTCAGGGTCCTTTCTATCCTTCCTCTGATTCCTCTGGCTCCTCTGTTCCCCCTCCTTCCTCCCTTTCCTCTCATACCTCTGTCTCACCTCCTGTATTCCCTTCCTCTGCATTGTCTTTCCGTTTCTTTCTCCTTTCCTTCACTTCACTCTCCTCCCGTTGCTCTCCTGTCCTTCCTATGCTTCAACAGCCCCTTCTCCTTCCTCTGCACCTCTTCTTCTTCCGTTCCCTCTCCTTCATCTCCTTCCACTGCTCTCTCTTTTCATTCCTTTTTCTGCTCCCTATCCTTCCTCTTCCCTATCTGCTATTTCTCCTTCCTCTCTTCCTCTGCTCATTCTTCTTCCTTTGCTTCCTCATCGTCCTCTCCTTCGTCTCCTCCCTCTACTCCAAAACACGATTAATCGCACAAACCTCTCGCATACGGGATGCAATTTACAAACTGCATGAAGGAACTTAAGCTTATCTGCTGCAATCCGTAGAAAAGAGCGAGGCTAAACAAAAATATCATGACTATTATAAACACAACTATAAATTGACATAAGAAAAATTTCCGTGGAAACACGATTCGACTCCAAAAAACCAATGCACTCAAGCAACCGTAAGGTAAACCGGTCAACAGAGAAAAGCTGTTAACTTGTGGAAGGGTGCCAAGAAAAATAAGAGCAAAGAGCGAGCCAATTAAGAAAGTAAGCTTTCGCCCAGGATTCTTTATCGTTCGTCTGCGTATCACGTGTTCAACCAGAGCCAGGCCCATGATACCGCCGACGGCCGGACCTGCTCCGGCCTGGGGCGAGTCATGCTTTGTAAATAAGGAGCCAATCTGAAAAAAGAGAAGACCAAAAATGATGAAAACTGCAAAGTGCGAACATTTTGCATAGTTGTTACAACAGATGCAACAGTATAATAATATGGGCATTAAATCAGCTTATTTTAACTACGAAATTTTCTTTAAAAAAATCTGGAGCATAACAGGCTTTTACTCACTCCTAGTTAATCTTAATCTAGAATCTAGCTGCTTAGAGAATCTAAAATCAACCTCAACAACTACTGATTAAGGCATGAGCCCTACCAATTGTCCGCCCACGCCAGCAGTATGATACACCATTGTCATGCGTAACCATCCCATAACGTTTTCCTGTCCCCAGCATAACCTTATTTGTATAAACGTGATCAGTAGGTAGTCTAGAATACCATGATGTAGATAAAGTGACGTAACGAATCGCCACCATTGATTGCCTCGACGTGGAGCGAATTGTGTGACGTAATTGTCAGCTGCAATATCACTGCCCAGAATGCAAAGCTGCCTTAGACAGTCGACCTGACAAATAATGAGTCAAGAAGTATATCGGTCATAAAATTCAACAAATGATTCACACCAAATTTTAATACAACATGAGCTAATTTTCAACCATTAAGCCAATGATTTAAATGGTGAGCACTGTTGCAAACATGTTTATGTAAGTTAGGTCTTTGCTTATACAGAGCATCCATCTTCAAAAGACACCTTTACTTTTACATGGAGTCCATACCACGCTTTTATTCCTGTTGCCGCCCAACCTGTCCTAACTATTTCTTGTTGAGTTATTTTTGAGTGTGCACGACGCGATTGTTAGATTTATAGATACAAATAACTGGATATTGCACAGGGTCGTGAATCGTGCGCATGTGATGACATCCTCTCCTAAGAGTCGATCTGTATGTAATCGGTAAGGTTGTTGTGCTTCAAGAGAGCCCTCTGTACCTGTGTGCAGTGGTCAAAGTGAAGATGAACTCGACCCTTCATAAACCAACAATGCTGCGGACTGGTCAGCGTACACTGCCCATCTTCTTTACAGCAAGGTCGCAAGATATGCTTGACGGCCGATTGTGGTGAAGAGCGCTGACTACAACGTACTTCCCTCCAAGTCGCTTTGTTGTTTGAGAGAATGCTACATTCTCCCTGTAGAAAAAGAATCACTGAACTGAATTCATGTTTGTATTTTCGAGGTTACACGGCACAAAAAGAATTGGCTCGTTATTCATACGTAATGCAGGCCTTGCGATATGTCAATTCCACCAAAGATGCTTTTAGATTATGTCGGGAAAAGAGGTTTGTTTTCTGAGAAGTCCACATCAGGGTCAACCTCGATCTCATGTTCTGAGCGAAAGCAGACGGCAAATGGAGCCTCCGTGGATATTAATTAGTTTTGTCGTGGAAAGAACTTCGAAACGAAGAGACTCCCTCCATTAAGTATTTATTCAATACATTCTCAAAAAAAGGTATAGCTAGGCATGCGGCGCACAATAAGAACCAATCAAAAGTACTGGATTCTATTTTGAATCCGAACATTTTACCTTCGTTGTTGTCCCTGCTGCGTTCACTTCCTCTACCTCACAGCAGCCCAGTTTTTCTCCACCTTCCCCAACGTGCAGCTGCAAAGCGTGAACCATGTAGACGTTAAACGCGTAATCTTCCCTGATGCACGGCGGGTAGAGCGCCCCCAGGGATATCAACTGTGCTCCTGGGGGACCAATCAAGGGGTTCGGTCGTTCACTGTGAGTAACAGTGACATTACCACGAAACGTGAAAGGCTCTGACAAAAGAAATGAAATGTAGAGTTCAGGTCCTAGTGCATTGAATCCTTCGGCAGAAGTGCATGATTTAAATTCTATGAGTTAAGTTTTAAATCAGCTTATGTCCAGGATTGAACTCAATCACAATGTCGCCCAACGCCCCCAACCCCTCCCCTGAACAAACAAACGGCTCCGTCATAGCTCTCATGGACAATCACAACTCCTTCGCCTGTTATTCAAACCAGCTATTAGTTTCTGACTTCACTTTCACAGATAACGACCCCATTTTTAGGGGTTCACTAAATGACGTCCCCTCCGCAATACAGATATTGACTGTAACTAACCTATTCTATAATAGGTCCTTGGTGACAAGCCTATTTCAGTGAAAGTTGTCGTGTAGCACAACCAGATCAACATAAACAACTGAGTCAAGGAAACTGCGAACGTGAAGTAAGGGCGAAAGCGACTGACCGCTTTTGGCTCCGGTCTTTCCACATTAGGTCGTGAAGTGTCCGTTGATTCATACTCTTCTGTTGTAGTTTCTAATTAAACCATACAATGAAAAACGAAATAGACCTCATCATGATAAACATAAAGTGCAGTTAACAAGGCACTGTTTTGTTAAGTTTTCGAAATATTTCCGTAATGTTGTAATATTTTTTTTCAATGCAATCTACTCGTTTATCGTATTTTTCCGTATTTTTAGTTTGTTCATTTTTTTGACAGTAACTGATTTAAGATCAAATCTAAGAATTTCAATCTCACTAGAAGCCCCAAATTGAAAGGTATTACCAAATTCACAAACCTAGACGACAAGAAAGTGCTACTGTAGTATATATATATCTCCTCTCGGAAATGTTACCTTCTTCACCAGATTCAACTTCCACAGGTGTCGTCATTTTCGGACCGGAGACGTTTTAGACGAGAACAGATTTTTCGTCACCATTTTTTCTTTATGTTGACAGCAAACACAAGCGTGAAACACGAGGTAACACTGCCACTGCTAAAAGCAGTTTTTCTTTCAGGGATAACAAATTATTTCATTACATCATAGAGATTACGTCACATTGTGACGTAACATTGGCATTTTAATAGGCTCGCGCAAAGCTAACCTCATTCCCAGACCCACGACCGTTTAGGCCCACGCCACGCTTCGTTTTCCTGAAATCTGACTCGCTAATAAAACAAACGCAGAATCTCATCGTGATTTTTCACTAAGTGACCTCTTGGTAAGTACGTGGTCTACTGGGTTAACTCTTGTAAACACTCACAGTATGCAGCTGTTATTCAGAAATGCGTAAGTATGTTTTAATCTGAAAATACTTTAGCTTTACAAGTGGGTGTGGCGTTTTTAAACTTTTCGACGTACGTAAACCTTAACATGCATGTTTCGCAACCATTCATATAACTTCAGTTTGCCTTATTAAGGACAAAGTAAGAAAATTTTAACTTCTCACGTTTTGAATACGGTTTATAAAAATTCATACAGCAAACCGAAGAAACTTAAGTAAATAATATAAAAACAACTCCGTCTTCTCGTTTGACACCTACATGACCACATGGTCATGTAAGCGTCTTGATATGAACACTATTTCCAGTGCTGCCAATCACCAGCTGAGTTCCGTCATGTGACACGTCTAAGGCTTGAATGGGTTTACCCTCCCCTTCCACACTAGCAATTACCTGTTTAAGAAAAAATAATAAATAAATCACAAAATGACTTGATAAATGATTTGCAAGTGATGGCCCATTACATTAACTCTTCGAACCCTAAGAGTGATTAGCATGTAATTTCTCCTTACAATATCACCCCTGACGCAAACACAAGGGCCATGAGAATAAAGGGAATGATCACCAACTAAAAAAGCAGATTGTTATAAAAATTCTCCATGTCAGCATCTTTAGAATGTACAGAGAACAGTATGGAGAATATGCATACTGATTAGTAAGAGTGCGACCTCAATGTGTAATTCAGGGGTGATATTGTACGGAGATGTTAGTATCCTAAGGGTCAGAGGTTGAGGAAACTGTGTTAAGCACCTTGTTTTCACTTCTGTTGATGATTTTCAGATCATTGGTTCCACTTCCTCCTGCAGCGATAAGATCATAACTAGAACAAAACCGAGCCACGTACAGGAACTCCCCGTGCTCAAGCTGACACGGAAATGGAATTGATTCTATCAGCTCGCCGCTGCCATAGTCCCACACCTACGATATAGATAAGATTAAATTGTAACTTCTATCCACTATATTAATACCTAGTCGAGCAAACAGTGGATAAGAATTCAGCAAAATATCACCTTTCAAATTCCTAATGAGTCTCGAAAATAATCCGAGTATGTTATGGTTCTGTTTAACAACGCTTGGTCCAGAAAACTCACACCACCACCCTCTCAACAAATCAGATAATAAACTTAAACAACTGGTGACTTATCAACTCACATTTTCCCGCGCTTCGAGCCCTGCGCTTGTTTGTAGTTTGTGTTCCAATTGGTTCCCAGAGACATTTCTGATAGGCTTTTATGACAATTTTGGTTTCGGTCAAACAACATACATTCGAAAAACAAGTTAATCAGTGTATTTTACTAAAATTCCAAATTCTCTTGACCAACAAAATCCGGAAATAAATAGCAGTTGGCAAGGACTGCCGAGGACGAGTCTCTTTAAAACCCCAAGATGGTGAAAGAAGTTCTAACTACGTCACGTCCCGTCATTTTTATCGTATCGCAACAAAACTAAATTGTTATTTGAAAAAGAATAGCTCTTCTCAATCTTCGATACGGTTACCAGAGCCGATACAATTTTTCATCAGATATGGAGCAATTTCCTCATGGTAATTTACATGGTGTTTCTTTGATCTTCCAAACAATTCATTGGCTTCCTAGCTTCCCTCTGTAACTTTTTTTTACCTTAAATTCGTCTTGATTGTCCACTACTCTGTTATACTTTTAGGATTGCCTTCGTAACAAGCACTCGAAATTTTAATTTGGAACAAGTTACTTAAACCGGCACGATAAGAGAAGTAACACGCGCGAAGAGAAGTCACACCCGCGAGAAAGAAATCACACGTGCGCGTTAGATGTCACACACACGCTCCAATCACATTGCGCCTATTTAAAACGCTGCCAACCTCGTCCCCAAGATCTCGCTTCATCCAATGTCGCGCAAACTACTTTTCATATTACCTGTAGTGCATTACGGGCCACCCAAGAGGCCGTCAAAATAGAGTCTTCCCACATGTCAATTCCATCACCACAGATGTACGGCCCGTGGATAGAGCGAACCACTTGATGTACTCGTACATCCCACACCTACCATAAGACAAAAATAAATTTCCTTTGTTCTGACTGGACTTTGTTTTGACTTTTAGGAAACTCAGGGACATGGGCCTCTCGTGAAAACTGGAAGAGGATTCAGTTCGTGACTGACCTTCAAACATCTGTCCCAGCCTCCAGTCAGAAAGACGTTGTCATTAAAAGGGTGAAATTTCACAGCGAAAACTTTTCTTCCATGGCCTACTCCTGGGGCAAAAATGTCTTCCTTTCTGGAAATTCAATAACAAGTACAAAGTCATGAAGAAAATGACAGTTTAGTGCGTAATCTAAACATACAACCCAAGAGGGGGGGAAGGGGAGAACATTTAAAGGGAATTTCATGAGGGGATGTGCTGTCAAGTCAAGGCTGTTACATCAAGTTGCCATGAAAGTTTTATGGCAGCCATTAATACTTCTGGGGAAAAGGGTTTTGCTCAAGAACACAACACAAGCCCCATCCACACTTTACCACCCATACATCTCAATCTGAAGTCCAACACCAGTCCCCCTGGTCCTTGACTCTCAGAGTCACTGAACACTTCATCCTTGCAGCCCCC